CACTTCAGTCTGGGCAACAGAGCCACACCCTGTCTCACAAAAAAAAAAAGTGTTAGAGTGAACTCAGGGTTCCGCTATCTTTAGTTACTTATAGAAATAAATATAGATGTAGGTATGCAAGTGTAGGTGTGTATATAAATACACACACAAACACACTCACATGATCCCACATGAGCCAGCTGTCTCTTGGAGACAAGACTCTCAAAAGCTGACAGATTTCCAGTACAAATCAGGGTCCATATATCTTAGTCATTCTCTACTGTTAAAAAATCTCTCTTGCTCCTCCTAAATCAGAGGAGCCAAGGAAAGGGCATCTCCAATTCTTGCAGCAACTGTGAGTTTGAACATCACAACAAACAACACAAACTATTTGGGAGATGCTCTTCCTTTTTAAGCATATCTTATCTCCCCACCCCTCCCACTCCCATATAGGAAAATGCCATTACAAAGAGAATTGACCAAAGACATTAACATCTAAAGAAATGCTAACAAAACCCAGTCATCAAGACACTAAAGACAATGTGCCCATTATAAGAATAAATAATAATAATAAATAACAGCAAACCTTTACATCATGTTTATTAGGCTGACAACACAGTCCTCTAGCCCAGGTGACAGGGTGAGACTCCGTCTCAAAAAAAAAAAAAGATGACAACACTGCCCCAGAGAAAGGGGTACCTCTCTTGAGCCTTTTGCAGAGAGTATGGCTTAAAGGCTTCCTGGGAAGACAGGCTTTAGAAAGCTGGTGAGGGGCCCTCCCTCACAGCCAGGGACCATAAGAACTATACAACTGGCTAGAGAAGAACAACTGAAGGAAGCACAACCCCACACCTGGAAGCAAGTGCCTAACTGGCATCTCCCATTTACCACATACTGACAAAATGTTTGAAGCTAGCAAACCACCTGCACGGTGGGACACAGAGGCCACTTCCAGGCCTCTCTAGCCACCTCCTGGACAGATCTGTCATTTGCTAGCTCCCCACCCACCTCTACCTCCCTCTTGTGTTGCTATTTTTTTTTTTCTTTTTGAGGCAGAGTCTCACTCTGTCGCCCCAGGTAGAGAGCAATGGTGTCATCATAGCTCACTGCAACCTCGAACTCCTGGGCTCAAGCTATCCTCCTGCCTCAGCCTCCCAAGTAGCTGGGACTACTGGCACATGCCACCACACCCAGCTAATCTTTCTGTTTTTAGTAGAGACAGGGTCTCACTCTTGCTCAGGCTGGTCTCGAACTCCTTATGGCTCCATGGTTATGAAGAAAAATGTCCCTCTTTTTAGGCATTAATTACTTAATTATTTAGTGGTGAGAAGAATCATAATGTCTGCAACTTTCTTTCAATTGAGTACAAAACAAAATCACAAAAAAATAGTAATCTAGGTAAAGGCAATATGGATATTTGCTCAACTTTTCTATAGATTTGAAAGTTTTTAAAATAAAAATTTGGGGAAAAATGGAAAACAATTTTGAGAAAGATAGTAAAACATTACCTGTGAAAGCAATTTCCTTTTTATCATTCAATATCTAGTGCTTTTCTTAATGACTAAAATGTACTGTTATTTCAAAAACTTACCTATATTCTTAAAGTTCTTCGAATATATTTCTGTGTTCTATACTAATGAATATTTGCTCATCTATAAATAAAATTTAGAAAATGAAAGCCCATCCCCCCCATAAAAAGGTATGATTGGGCATTTATTTTTATTCCTATAAGCACATGCTTTGCACCACTGTTTTTCTGCTAAGTCAGGGTTCAGCACACTACTGCCTACAGACCAAAATTGGCTGGCTTTCTGTTTTTGTATGGCCTGAGGGAGGAATGGTTTTTATATTTTTAAATGGTTGGGCAAAAAAATCAAACGAATAATGAAATTTAGTGAAATGGAAATTATATTAAATTCAATTTAGTGTCTATAAATAAAGTTTTATTGGAATACTGCTATATTCATTCATTTATATATTGCCTACGGCTGCTTTTGCCCTATAAGGGCAGATCCCCTATTTAGCAAAATGTTACTCACCCAAAAAAGAATTTCATTCTTCTCATTAGATCTGTATTACAAAATATTGTACTCAATTATTATAATTTGAATAAGATAATTATATACAATAAAAAAGTATGGAAATCTGTTTTTTTTTATTGGTACGTACATAGTATTCTAAATTTGGCCTCTTTGCCCACAAAGCCTGAAATATTTACTATTGGCCTTTTACAGAAAAAGTTTTCCAACTCCTGTTCTAAGTCACAGCTTTCTTAAAGATCAAAAATATGTTCTAAAATTCATTTTTGTGTACCTCTGAAAAAGGTATTCCACCAATCAATTTGTTAATATTTGAAATCCCCATCAGACACTAAATGGCTTAATTTTCAGTTATATCAAGTAACATTTACATATCCATTTCATTGGCCTATCAAGTAGTTTATAACTCCAAAACAAAATTTGCTTACAGAGAATCTATAGTAGTTACCTATCCATTGTGATATTTTCACTGTACATGTAACCATTCATGTATAATACTCCTCCCTGTTTGCCAGTTCCTAAATTAGTATGGTTTATGGTATGGGACTATTAATGGAAAAAAACCCAAACTCTGTAAAATAAATTAAAGGAGTTTATTTAGAGCCTAATGCATGTGACTGGCCTGGAGCACATGGCCTCAAGAGGTCTTGAGAAAATGTGCTGGCAGTGGCTGATGTTCAAGGCATACATTGGGTTGGCCTGAAAAGGTGGGACATCTCAAGGGGAGGAGGGTGGTTGCAGGTTATAGGTGGATTTAAGAGTCATTGATTTGTAATTGGTTAAAGAAATAGAGCTTTGTCTAAAGGTTTGAAATGTTTTAACTTAAGATAAGGATGTCTGTTAATCAGAGATAAGTCACAGAGATATTTACCCAAACTCAAGTGACCTTTTAAATAAATTGATGGCTTATAGGAGTGGTTTAAGCTTTGTCTTGCATAACCTTAGGCCTGTTAATTAGTATCTTACTGTTACAGAGAATATCTCTAGAAAAGGATTGGGGAGGTGGGCATGATGGGGGGTGTCTGACCCCGCCTTTTCATGGCCGGCAACTCAGCTTTAGGGTTTTTCTGGGATCCTCTTGACCAAGATGGTGTTACCAAAAGCTCAGCACTTGTCCCCATGGCCACATCAGAAGAATGAGGAAAAGTGGTTTGAAGAGAAGGAAAGAGAAGTTTATTAATTTGCTGGCAAATGAGGAGGTTGGCAGACTCCCATCTTAAAATAGCAATGTCCTGCCAAATACAGAGCTTTTAAAGGGGAGGTTGTCACCTTCAGGCTATAGCTGTTCAACTATAGTTGATGGTTCTGATTCATCACATCTTCTGCTAAGATAATGTCCTGACTTCCACCCTGCACACGGGAAATTCCATTGAGCCATCTCCTGTGGTACAAAGAACAAAGGACATTCTCCTGCCCCTCCCAACCACTGGCCTGAGGTAGGGATGCAGGTTTTAATTCCCAAAAGGAATGGGGGAGGTTTTAAAGAAACAGAAAACATTTTTACCCTTTTTTAGGCCATTCCCCCTATTACAAGGGGGTCCATTCAGCTGGCTAGGAGGGGTTAAGATTTTATTTTAGTTCAGAGTACCAATCCTTATCTCTTTCATCACATTACTAAAATTCTACTTAAAGCAAATGATACAATTTGGTCTTACTCAATTTAATTTCCCCATTTTATTGGTCAGAGTCCTAGCATCAGGAAGGCATTATTCTTAAGTTTTTACTTGGCTGTCCACTAACTGAGCAGGTCAACTCAACTAGAGAGAACCAAGATGATGGTAATGCCTATGTACATATTGTAAGGTTTTCGGTGGTGGAGAGACCAGCAAACACAAGTTATGGCCAAACAAGTGGCTTTATTAAAGCGCTCCTGGGTGAGGGTTCACAGGTCCTAAGGTCAGGGCCTGAGAAGTCACGCTGCCCAGGACTGAGTCAGGGTTTTTATATGTGGGGTTAAGGGGTCTTGGAACATTCAGGTAGGATGTGGTCGTTTGAAGCCTGAGGACTTTGCCTGCAGCAGCTGGGTAGGGCAGGAAACCGAGCTCAGGGTGTTCAGCCAGCATAGCTGTTTTTTGCCACTCATGACAGGATGCAGTCTGGCCCTGGCTGCAAGCCAACAGGGAAGGTGCCCGGGGCTGTTGTTGCTGTGCCTGTGGGAGTCTTTTGGCCAGCCTTACACATATTACGATCAGGGTGAAGTGATCTTTCCGAAATGTTTGCCATTTCAGAGAGTGAGATCTAAAGTGTATTCAGAAAGTTCCCAGACTACAAAGTTTCTTAAGAAATTTTGTAGGCATCAACAAGACTGAGTTGGATACTTCCATGTGTTTCTGGAGTAGAAAAGCCTGTGAATTTAAGAATTAAAATCACGATTCTGTCCTCATTTGGCTCACAGGCTGAGCTCAAACTGATTCCAAAATAAGTCTGGTTCTTGCTTCCAGCAGGAACAAGCAGGGTTGGGAAATCATTAATTAAACGTATTTCCGCCATAAAGATGGCGGACAAGTTCCTTTTAAAGGTGGTAAAAAGGAAGAGCGTTGGTAGTAAGGATCGTCCACCAAGGGATAAAGATAAAGGGACGTAAGTGAGAATGGGAGAAACGAAGGGTAAGTAGCAAGACCGTAAAAGGTGAAAATCCAAGCAGGAGAAAGGGAATGTTTCAACAGTAAAGGGAATGGTTGCTGCAAATTCCTCCTTTTATGTTCCGACGCGGCTGAGACTGGGGAATATTAAGTCCTAAAATCAAGTGTGCCCACATCCCTTACCCACTTCCAACAAGACACCTCCAAGCAACCTCCGCGGAGGCGGGCGCCTCACAACCCACGCGCGGATTCGTTCTCGCGCTGGCAACTTACAGGAAGCGGAAGCTGTGCGCGAGCAGGGGCGGGGTGCCGTTTCTAGTGCGCCTGCGTAAGCGGAAACCGCTGGCCAGCTTCGGTGTCTGTGGTAACCCGCCGGAGTTGACCGTTTGAAGCGCTGCTCATGGCTCCAGTTTCCCGGCCCCGGTATGCCGAGGACACTCCGGGCTCTCGGAGACGACGACGGAGCTCGTCCGGGAGCCCGCCATCCACTCAGTCCAGACGCTCCCCTTCGGGCGACCGTTCCCGCTCTCACTCCCGCGGCGGTGAGGGCCTCAGGCCTCCGTGGAGTGAGTTGGGCGGGGGCGCTTCCTGGCCTCTTAGCCGCTCTTGGTCTCGAGAGCCGCCCCCAGGGCTCCGCAACTACGCCTTCTTGTCCTCTTGGGTCTCTTATGACGAATACCGCTACCATCACCACCACTGTCCGGGTAACTGGCAGTGGGTAGAAGACTATGACAAGGAGGAGGAAGAGAGCTACCGCCAGAGGAGGCTGAAGGAGAGAGAGAGGATTGGGGAGTTGGGAGCGCCTGAGGTGTGGGGGTTATCTCCAAAGTTTCCTGAGCCAGATTCTGATGAGCATACCCCAGTTGAGGATGAAGAGGTACAGAATGAGAAGAGTTGTTCAGTTTCTAGCGTGGAAGAAAAAAAGAAAAAGAAGACGAGTCGTTCAAAAAACAAGAAAAAAAGAAAGACTAAGTCATCTAAGAGAAAACATCGCAAATATTCTGAAAATAGTGACAGTGATTCAGACTCTGACATGAATTCTAGCTCTGATGATGATAAAAAGAGAGTTAAAAAAGCCAAGAAGAAAGAGAAGAAAAAGAAATGCAGAGCAAAAAAACTCAAGAAAAAGAAGAATAAGAAGATTAAAAAAGAATCCAGTGACTCAAGCTGTAAATACTCAGAAGAGGAGTTGCCAGAAGATACCTGGATTGAGCAGTCAAAGAGTGCAGATACCATGGATTTAATAGGTCCAGAAGCACCTATAATATATGCCTCTCAAGATGAGAAACCTTTGAACTATGGTCATGCTCTGCTCCCAGGTGAAGGTGCAGCAATGGCTGAGTATGTAAAGGCTGGAAAACGTATCCCACGAAGAGGTGAAATTGGGTTGACAAGTGAAGAGATTGCTTCATTTGAATGCTCAGGTTATGTCATGAGTGGCAGCAGGCATCGGAGAATGGAGGCTGTACGGCTGCGTAAGGAGAACCAGATCTATAGTGCCGATGAGAAGAGAGCCCTTGCATCCTTTAACCAAGAAGAGAGACGAAAGAGAGAAAATAAGATTTTAGCCAGTTTCCGAGAAATGGTGTACAGAAAGACAAAAGGGAAAGATGACAAGTAAGGATTTGTTTGTTACACAGCAGGACTTTTAACAACAAAAGTCTTTTATGACCAAAAGTATCAAAAGGCTTTCCAGTGCTACTGTACCTACAATGTTAATAAGCCCCTCAGAAAAAAGCTGCATTTTGAAATATCTCTAGCAATTTATTTTTTTCTTTTAACTTTAAAAAGTAACATGTGCACATGGTTTAAAAAATATTCAAACATTACAGAAGCAGAGTTAGTAACAAGTGAATCCTTCATCCCAGTCCCTGACTCTTCTCCCCAAAGAAATCTCTTTTTGGTGCCTTCTATATCTGTCCATAAGTTATGTGTGTATACAAGGGTATATGTGGCAAGATAGGGTTAGAGCTATTAAAGTTTTTTTCTCCTTCTTGAGCTCTGACATTTTTGGTCTCTTGGAGGGCTTCATTGCCTCATGGAGCCATTCATTTGCCCCAGGGAGGACCAGAAGAACCCCAGAAAGAACAAAGGATTCAATTGGTGTATACTTCTGGTTGCAGTTAGCTGACTGGGTTAGAAAATAGAGGAGATAGGCTGGACATGGTGGCTCATGCCTTTGATCCTAGCACTCTGGGAGGCCAAGGCGGGAGAATTGCTTGATCTGAGGGGTTTGAGACCAGCCCGAGCAAGAGCAAGACCCTCTCTCTACTAAAAATAGAAAAATTAGCCAGGCGTCCTGGTGCACACCTGTAGTCTCAGCTACTTGGGAGGCTGAGGCAGGAGGATTGCTTGAGCCTAGGAGTTTGAGGTTGCAGTGAGCTATGGTGATGCCACTGCATTCGACCTGGGGCAACAGAGTGAGACTCTGCCCTCCCCCCCACCCACCAAAAAAGAAAGAAAATAGAGGAAATATACTGGCTTTTATAACTGAAAAGTCTAGAAGGAGGATGAGTTTTCTGCATGGCTTTAATTGGACTTTGGCTTCTTTCTCCATCTTCCTTTTGCATGGATCATTTTCCTCAGGCTGGTTTCCTTTATATAACAAAAGAGCTGCTAAATCTCCTAAGTTTGGTTACATTTTTCCTGGTCCACTTGTGAAGAGAGAAAGAACAATTCTGATTTGGCATTCCAAATGAGAATCAAGATTCACCTCAGTTGGATAAGCTTAGGTCACATACCCATTCAAAACAAGTGCTGTTGCCTGGGAAATAGAATGGCCACTCCTGGGGCTGTAGGTATGGTCAGTTTATGGGCTACATGGGGAAGGAATGGATATGTGAATGAAAATCAGGGTAATGTTGAGCAGAGGGGATAGACAACCAACAAATGCCAGCTGGGCAAGGTGGCTCTTGCTTGTGATCCCAGCTGCTTGAGAAGCTTGAGCCCAGGAGTTCAAGACAGCCAACATATGCACACTACAGTTTTCAGTGATTTTTGCATTTTTAAGCTACAGCTGCTAGAATGAGAATTTGAATGATTTTTTTAAAACATAGAATAGAGAGTACATGTGCTGAAAGTAAAAATTTTTTTTGAAGAAAATTTTGGCTTTGGTTTACTAGAAGCCAAATCCTGATTGAACAGGACATAGGGTTTATCCATAAAGGAAGATAAAAAAGAAAAGGTGAAGATCCAGGATGCATGAGTAGATTAGGGCCACCTAGACTAGTAAGAGAAAGAAAAAATGATAAACTGTAAAGGAGGAGGTAGATGGTAGAGTTCATGAAGAGGAGAACAAATCAGGAGGGACCACATGGACAGGAGAGTTAGCATTGAGAAACTGGCTAGCACCAGTCTTGGGGAGTGAGCTCCGTTCATGGTCTGTTACAAGACCTTTGTTGTCATTCACTAATAACTGCCTGAACCCTGAGACTTTAGTTCAATACTAATGACATTGTCTCATTTGTTTAACCCTCTTTTCAAAATTCAAAACACTGGTAAGTACCACAGAGCTGAAGGTGAGAGGGTGGGGTTCTAGAATCTGGCAGGGCAACGTGATATGGAAGGGCAGCTTTACTCCAGTATGTGACATGGTTGACACTGGACCACACCAGATTGATATTTTCTCCAAAGAGGTTTGGGGAACATTGGTGATAGCCGTGCTGTTACATATGCATATTTCCATTTTTAGAAACCATCCATACTGTACACATGAATCAACACCTTGCTTTTTTCACTTAACATCTTGGAAGTGTTTTATATCAGTACATATAAATCTACCTCATTCTGTGCTGTAGTCTCTACAGTATTCCATTATATGGAAGGACCATATTTTGTTGGATGTTTAAGATGTTTTCCTGTATTTTGCTATCACACAGTATTGTAGTGAAAATCTTTGTGGATTTGTGACAGTATTATCTGTAGCATATTAATCTAAAATTAGCATTATTGGGTCAAAAAGAATCCTTCGAGGCATATAGAAATGCTAACCTCAAAGTAGAATTACTGGATCAAAGGGAAAATATTTATTAGGTGCTTTCTATGTGCTGGGTACTATGGCAGTTAATGTGGATAAACAAGAAACAAGTCAGGCTTGATCCCTGCCATTATAGAATTTTACATTCTATTGGAGGAAACAGACTTACAAAAGTTAACAGACAAATAGTTACAAACTGCAGTATGATATGAAGAAAATGAGCAGCTAGAGACAGTAATGGGGGGACTTTTTTGATAGCGTGGTCAAGGAAAGTCTAAAAATGTCACATTTAAGCTCTATGTACTTTTAAGTTTTAGTAGATATTGCAACACTGCCCTCTATGTTTACATACTTACCAACATCATCATCAATATAGTACTTTCAAACTTTTGATCTTTGCCAATCTAATAGGTGAAAAATGGCATTTCATTTTTCAATTTTATTTTCATTTCCTTAATTAAGAGTAAGACAGACCACCTTGGCCAGGCTTAGTGGATCACACCTGTAGTCCTAGCTACTCAAGAGGCTGAGGTAGGAGGATTGCTTGAGCCCAGGAGGTCACGGTTACATTGAGCTATGATGGTGCCACCGCACTCCAGCCTCGTGACACAGCAAGACCTTGTGTCTTAAAAATAAATAAAAATAAGCATTTTATGACTCTTGTTAAAAGCATCTTTTAATGTATTTATTTATGACTCTTTTGTAATTCTTTTGTGTGGGTGTGAACTGTCCACATTATAACATTTGTCCATTCCCCTATAGACTTGTTGGTCTTTTTCTTACTGATAATAAAAACTCTTTAAATAATAAATAAATTAGATTTCTATTGCATATTTTGCAAATATTTCTTCCTGTTATTTGCCTTTTGACTGGGTTTTTTCTGGGGGGAGACACTTGATCATGTCACCCTTTAAGGCCTAAAAAGATTCCCTAACTCTAGCCAAACAAATATCTTTGTCTTTCTCACTTGGGGAAAAAAAGCAGCTGAGAAACTGTGACTTCTAAGTAAGCCAAGGCAAGACTGGTGAATTTCTTTTCCGAAAAGATCAAGTACGATACAACAAATATGCATCTAATGCCTATAGCAGAATACTTGTGACAGCTCTTGCTGTAGTTATGCTTAACTTGCCATTTCATGTTGCTTTTAGAGAGAGACCTGGCCAGTAAATCTGCCTTAAAAGAGATTTTGAGGGTTGGAATTTGATTGCAGATTACTTTTGTCTCAGGGGAGATAATAAAAAAAGAACAACTTTTCCTTTGAAATACTTTTACCCAGAGTATGTGGTTATGGCTTGTGGAATAGAAGAAAAACAGCACGATAAAAATTTTGTATTATATTTAGGTTTCAAGAAACCATTAGGGAGATGAATTCTTCTCCCAAGAAGATGATTTTTGTATTAAAAATTCCTTTCCTCCTTGGCAAGAGAAAAAAGAAACCATTAGAATCACTTTATTATTGAACTCTGCTCAAACAGGGAGTTGAGCAGATCAAATAACTTGTCTTAACCATCAGAGTTACATTGAGTTTTATTCAGTGCTGACAAAAAGCCCAAGAAAGCAAACTAGTGAAGGTACTGCTGATTAATTTAGTTGATAAATTTTATGGAACACCATAAATTTTCTCGTGGGCTATTATTTTATGACTTTAAAGAATTATCTAAAATAGTGCTTCATGAGGCAAGAGGATCACTTGAGGCCAGGTGTTCAAGCCTGGACAACATAGTGAAATGAGACTCTGTCCTTAAAAAATAAAAATTAACCAAGTGTGCTGTCATATGCCTGTAGTCCCAGCTATTTGGGAGGCTGAGGCAGGAGGATCACTCGTGCCCAGGAGTCGGAGGCTGTAGTGAGCTATGATCATGCCACTATCCCCCAGCCTGGGTGACAGAGTGAGACCTCATATCAAAATAAAAAT